TGATGGTTGCACAACTTGGTGAGTTTACTAATAACCTGCTGAACTGTACCCTTTAAAGAGATGAATTATATGATATGTGAATTATGTCCAATAAAGCTGTCACACACACACACACAAACCCAAAACAGAAAAAAAAACCCTCTCATGAGATACGGCATTTTATTTTTAACACTTATACCAAAAGCTGTCAGGCCTCAAAGATCCTGCTGCTCGGCTCCTGGGCTGGTGCCTGGCAGATTTTCCCTGGAGCTGGGGAAGCTTCAGGGCCCTTTCAAGCCTCAAGAGGAGACTCCCCATGGTGTTTTCCTAACATTGCATGACTTTTCTTAAAGAGGGTCTCCTGAGCTGAATATTATTAACTTCACACACCTTGAAACCTGAGCCTTGCAAGGGAGGGCCCCCGCAGGGCTCAAGCTGCTTTATAGCTTCTCAATAAATGCACCCTGTAGACAGGAGAATATGTGACTATGTCATTAAGACAACTTTCAGTGAAAATGGAGGTGTGGTGTGCAAAAGCAGTCCGATCACCCACCACACGGAAGGTTGAGTTGGTCTTCTTCATCTTGGGTCTTCTTTTCCACCACTCAGCATCTCACACACTGTACTGAAAAATTAAGTTTTAAGATATATTCCCACAACACTGGGGAGATGTGGGTAGAAGGAGGGGTTTTTCTATGAGTACTTAGATTATAATATTAAATAAGAGAATAGGTACTTTATCACAGAGATCAGTCCAAGACATGTCCTCTTGAGATGTATATACTATAGATATCAAAAGGGTTGTTAGTCGGTTTTCTTTCTGTCAAAACAATTCAAGAGGGATTTCTTCCTGAAGAAAGGAAAAGCATCCAGAAATCCATTCAAATAATGTTAATTTTGTTGGCATTATGTCAGTTAGCTCTTTCACTTTCTTTCTTTTCTTAATTGCTCTCCACACCCACAAAGGGGGAGGGAACCCACTACCAACTTCGGCAGCCAGGTTCTAAAGATAAATAACCACCCTCTAGTGAAACTTTAATTACAAGCCAGGAGGTACACAGAGCAGGAAACGTCCGGTTCTGACACGAAGACTCCGCCCTCCCTCGCTGCTCTGAGAAACACCATCATTAGCTAAGGCCCTGCAAGGACCTGCATGCAGCCAGGAGGCTCCACGGCCTTTCATGTTCTGTGGTCGGTCACCTTCTAGAAACTCTAAGGCCAAAATCACAGGGGCAACTGCCATCTGGGTTCCCCACCGGCCCCAGGAATTGCGTTGTAGTTCCAAATTTCACTTTTGCCCTATCACAGTGACCTGCACAGATCAAAGTTAAAAAATACTGTTGGAACTATGAACAGAAGGCCAATTTTAAAGGGGTGCCCCCTAAACTTTGTAAGTAATAGGCTTCTTCCTGAGCCTCAGGGAAATGTTCCCCTCTGGAACCCTCCCACTTTAAGGCATATCCCAACTGTAGCAATGAGTGGCCTTTTTACCTTATACTACAATAGAATAAACAGGAGTTAAAATATACACCCAACTATTGGGTCGTCGGGAAAGTCATGACGTATTTTTCTATGTTTTTCAATGCAAAAATGCATCATGACTTTCCCGACGACCCAATATATCTCGGTTGGTTAACATCACCTGCACTACGACTCAGAAAGCCTGATCCTAGGTATCTGCCTAAGAGAAGAGATGGTATATGTCCACAAACAGACTTATACAGGAATGTTTGCAGAAGCAATATTCATCATATCCCTAAACTGGAAACAACCCAAATGTCCACCAACAGGACAATGAATAAACTATGGTATATCCATACAATGGAACTCTACTTAGTAATTAAAAACAACTTATTGATATACGCCAAAAAAATGAATCTCGGGCCGGCCGAGTGGTACGTTGGTTAAGAGCTGGCTTGGGACGCCAGCTCTGAGCAGCAGGGCCCCGGATCCCACATGAGGGCCAGTGACGCTGCTTCCTCTACAGCTAAGATGGTGAACAACAGCTCGACCTGGAGCTGGGCTGCCGTGGGGCTGGCCGGCAGCTGGCGTGAGCTTTTGTGAGTTGCCGAGAGCGGCCGTCCAATGGCTGGTGAGTGACTGCCTCACCTGGGGCTCGCTCTCTCTCTCTCTCTCTCTCTCTCTCTCTCTCTCTCTCTCTCTTTCTCTGTGTGTGTGTGTATGTGTGTGTGTAGAGGAAAAGGCAATAACTTTTACTGTTGAAAATACCGGTTTTATACAAAGCCAACCTCTATAACACTTCAAGGTCTTGCACATGGGTTCTCCCTATCAAGGCCTGGCACGACTGCTCCTTCTCACCCTTCCGAACTCATGTTCAATGCCATTTCCTCAGGGGAGCCTTCCTTGAGGCCTACCTCCAACCTCCAATCCTCCCTGTCATCTCCTACAACTTTCCTCACTGTCTTCATGACTACAGTGATTTGTCTACTTGTTCACTGACTGACTTTTCCACTCATTATGAGGTCGAGGACAATGGGGACTGTGGCTGGTTTGATCTCCACTGTATAAGGAAGCACCTGGCCGGGCACATAGTAGGGCTCCAGTCAATACTGGTTGAGTAGTTGGACAAATACTATACCTGTTACCCAACACACAAAATAAAGCAAACAAACAAATCCCCCAAATCACACACTCTTCCTCCTGCAAGCTCAATATAAAATGCACGTGAAACAGCCCTACAATCCATGCCTGCTTCTAGGGAGGAGCTTCCTGGGAGCAGGTTTGAGGCACTTTGTAACACATGACCTGCACGTCAATGACTTAGACAAGAATGTTGAAAAGTGGGTGTCCCACATTTTATCAAAGTACCAGTATCTGTGGCCAAAAAGAGAAGGAAATGTAGCTCTTACAAAGCTGACCAGGCAAATAAAGTTCATGAGCAATTTCATTCTCTAAAAAATGGACTATTACAGGAAGCACAGGCTATAGAGTCAATGTGGTGAAATGAAAAATGACCTACTTGGGAACATAAAACAAGGAGAGTAGGACATATATGCTGACTTGGCAAGTCATCTAGCACACTGTCTAAGGAGGAAAACTTACCCGTGTGCCCGGGCGCACACACGGAGACTGTAGCCCAGAGCCCTGAAGCTCACAATACAACCATTTAAAGAAAGAAAGAAAGAAAGAAAAAACCACATTTGGCACCAGCTTGACACCAGACTAAAAGGAAAGGTTGGCGTTATCACCAGACAATACATGTCTATGGAAGAGCTCCCTGCCAAACCCCAACGTCAATCAAAAATAGTGCACCCTCTTATTTTCTTGGGAAATAAATTTGTTAAAATTTATTAAACTGTCAAAAATGTATTAAACTATTAGAAATTTGTTATACTGTTGGCCTAAAGAATCATTTTCACATCCTCTGTTCTGCCACTGACTGCTGAGGGATGTGGGATTTCGAGGCAAAGTGAGAAGAACGCTGAGCCAGGAGTTCTGGCCACTGCACCCCACTTCCCGTCAACTGTGACAGCCTCACTCAGGCCCCCTGAGCCACAGTGTCCTACCCAAGTTACTTAATAAAGTAAACTTTAATAAGTAAAGCAGTGAACATAAAACATCCTTCTTCTTACACGAGTGATGACATTTAATTTGCTCCCTCCTTGCCATTAGGGGAATGATTCTGGTCATTTGTTGAACACTTGTTATGTGCTAGCTTATATGAAAAAGCCCTGGTTTTTAAAAAGAAGTTAGTAATATCACAGGTCATAGAGTGGGAAGAAATAACTATACATAGCTCTGGTTTTGCTTTCTGTGTTAGGAATTGGGGAATAAGAATGGGAGAGTGAGCAGTAGGGGCAGTTTTAAACTAAATGCCTTTGGTAATTGATTCTGACTCAAGGTGGCATATTAGAATGATCTCTGAGCTATTTGCTCAATGACAAGAGGATATATGCTAAAAGTCATTGGCAAGGGCCTGAGTTCTGCCCAGTGTTACTCCGATGTTAGCTACTTGCCAAATGTTCCACGAGGAGAGAAGCTGGAGGGTGGAACCCCACTGCTGAGGACTCTAAGCCCTGAGTGAGTGTTCAGGTGCCCTTGGCGTACATGGGGTTGGGTCCCACTCTCCTTCTGCAGACACAAGAACCTATAACAGAAAAAAGGCCCTCTGCTCACTGTTGGGGCTAGGGCTCCTGAGAACAGCGCAAGCTGGGGCGGAGTGAGGGAACCAGAGCAGGACGTTTCAGCTGCGCCTGCCCCATCCTGGCCTGGCAGGGGGCAGCGGGGGAATTCTGGGTCAGTGCTCCCCCACCTCATGCCGTGTGTGGCAGGGCTAGTGCAGCAGGGCTCTCCGCAAGCCCTGCTCTGCCCTCCTCCCACAGCAGCCCAGGCGAGGCCTTGCCTCCGAGTCAGGGCAAGTCCCCCCAAGCAAGTACAAAGGACCCCGTCAGGCCCCACTGGTGTCTGGAGACATGGCAGCCCAGAGTGGTGGGAAATGGTGGTCAGCCAAAAACAGAAACCAAAATGACACAAAAGGAAAAACAAGAAGAGCCCAACAAATAAAACGGCAGGGAAAGGTTTTGCATTTAACACCCACATTGTCCTACTTTCAACTTTCCCAGGAGAGAATTCTGTCATCCAGAGCCCAGTGCCAAATGTTTACTCGGAGCACATGCAGAGAGAGGCCTACGGTCACCAAGGAACTCCAAACAGAGCTGAACTTGAACTCAGCGCTGCCAGTGAAGTGCGATTCTCTCCTAGTGGGGTCTATGGATGTACAAGCTCTGGAGTCTCAGAGGTGAGGGTCCCTGACCCTGAGCTGGTAGCTGATGTGATGCACTCAGCCCAGGTGACCGGTAGAATCCTGGGCTCGCATGTGCTGGTGCATCCACAAGCAAGCCACACTGGGGAGTCCTCAAGAAGGTCCCCAGACAGAGCAGTGTTTGAACAGTCCCCCCAAACTCTGGCAGACCGGCCGTCTTTAAGGCAAGCATGCCACCTCCCAGCTATTCCCTGGAGGCTGAGAGGGTGAGCAAACTGATCTCTCCACTGCTACTCACCATGTACGAAGGAAAGATCAGAACTCGTTTGTGCTTGCCACAAGGCCACTGGGGGTCATCCAGGAGATTCGGGTCGTAGTCCAGAAAGTCTCCCAGGTCACTGCCTAAGGATCACAATCAAAGTGATAAGCAGGGGCCCCAGACTCTCTGAAGCAGAAGCAGCTGGGCTACTCATGCCAAGTATAAAGTTAAAGAAAGGTTGGCTTCAGGGCATTTAGCTCAGAGTCACGTCGCTCGCTCTGACTTTTAGTGCATGTCTCTAAAAGCCAATGAAGTGTATCCTCCCGTAAAAGGATTCACCAAATTCTTAACGTTCTGACACTTTTTCCATTTTAGAAAATTATGTGTTAATCTCCCTGACCCAGAAGAGCACAGAGCATAAAAAATGCAGTGAACACTCACAGATTACAAAATGTGGCACCGAAAAGGCTCGTTTTCTAAACCGGCAGATCAAGTAGTAGTTGTGCAGTATGAGAAACACATTTTTGAGGTAAATGCTTCCGGGCAGGCTACTGTGTCCATATAAACACAATTCAGACTAGGGACCAATGCAAACAGTTGTAAATGACCAGAGGTGGCTGGAACACTGGACAGTGCTTCCAAACTCAGCACCTGGACAGCCTAAGGAACTTCATATGCATTTGGAATTGCTCTGAAAGTTATAATACTGCTTTGTAAAGAGCTGTCGCCCTCGTGTCAATTTTTACAGAGGTTTGTATAGGCCAAGTTGGAAGCAAGCACAACATCTTCTTTCAGCAGCTGCGTTAGTTCACCCACTGTAAGAATAACAAAGGAAGTTCTCACACTGGATCCTGGGTTTCTGGCCCAATTATCTGAAGAAAAGCCAAACCTGAGCACTATGAAAATGGAGGTAAAAAGCAGGTAACCGGTGAGTTGAGGAGGTGAGTGGTGGCGAGAAGCAGGGGAGTCCAGCTTGACACTTCTCATTGAGGGAGCTTAGGGTGTTGGCAACCGAGGCATCTCATTAGAGAGATCACCCTGTGGCCTGGTGGGGAGCCGGCACGGCCTGAAATCGGCCTTGCCCCAAAGTCGTATCACCTGCCGGATGAGCTCACATTCTAGGGGTCCCCGTCCTCCATTCTGTACCCCGGGAGACCCAGTCCACATTGTACACCAAGACACCTCTTGCCACGGGCTACCAGACCCAGCCAGGTCCCAGGTTACCTGTGTCAAGGCTCCCCTGGGTGCTGCTCGCCCGTCCTATGGAGAGGCTGCGGTGGCTCAGGTTACGGAACTGGGAGACGGAGGAGGTGGAGTCAATGGTATTTCTCCGGGTTCCGAAGGCATTTGTGGGTAACAGAAATTGGGTATAAGAAACAGTCTAAAAGGTGAACATAAAAATGGCAAGCGGTTATTCCCAGGCAATGTTAGGTTTGCATTCTGACCAAGCTATGTTGCCACCCAAGTTCAGGTCTGTATTCTCCTATCTGGAATTCTAAAACCCAATGAGTTCTTAAAAATGAAACTTTTTTTGGTACTCATTTGTGCCAAATTTGTGCCAAAACTGACTTGAGGCTAGCTATAGTTTTAATTTGTCCCACTTGGTGTGAATATTCATGTTATGTGGCAGAAATATTGGTGTGTTTGATAACATGCTATCTCAGAAGCTGTTGGGGTGTTGTGTAATACACAAGGCACACACTGTTATGACTTTTTATAAACCGTCAAGTGCAGAATTCCAGAATGCATTAGGCCCAGGAGTCTCTGATAAGGGACTGTGACCTTTGGCAGTTCCTTTGGCAGATGCTGTCTAGGATGTTTGTTCATCTGTTTTAGCCTCCCTCATTCCTACGTGAACACATACTTAGCCTTTAGGAATGAAGATATAACAAGTACTTTTCTTTTCACCTGCCTGGGGAATCGCGGCTCATGTGTCATGAGCTCAGGGTTGATGTCTGGTCACAGTGGTGACCAGCTGTCCTGGGGGAGGGTGGCAGGGAGGTCATTTGCTGCCCCAGCAGCTTCACCTGCAAGCAAACTATGCTGGGACGGCTTTCCCCAAGCAACACTTGCATTGTCTCCACAAACAGACTTTGGGAGGATTTATGAAGATTGCCTGGAGTCAGCGCAAGGAGGTCAAGTTCATATTTCAAACTTCACGCCTCAGACTTCAACCCAGCAGCTCAGTGCATAGTGGGTGAAAGAGGAATGTGACAGCCCGGCTACTCGGTGGTCACTATCTAAGGCTGAGAGACTCTTAGCTTCTTGGGACCACAGGAAGCCAAAAATACTTTCTAGTGGTGGGAATGTTTCTTGCCGACACCATCAGTTAATGCATGTTCCAAGCACCTGCCACTCCATCCCAGAACATGCACATGTGTGCGTACGTGTGCCTGACATACTGGTCAGTCGTGTGCATTCCACTGTACGTAGCGTGGGCAGAGAAGTTGTGCTGCTATCTGATCACTGTCTTGGTGGACTTCTGTCTGCACGCTGGGGAGTGGGACAGGCTGGTGCCCCACCCACCCTGGTTCCTCCACCATGAGTGAGGTTCATGGTCTGTCGCACTGCCTGTTTTCTGACTTTGGTGGTATCGGCACAAATGCGTGGGCCAGAAACCAGGTAGCCTTACCTTCCCGTCAGCTCCCAGCTCCACACCTTCAAGGCCAATGATCTCTTTTAAGCTCACGGCACCTGTTGATTGTCTCCCTCCTTCCAACTTCAAATCCCTGGGAGGACAAAGCCAAAGAAAACATGCTTTCGTTTGTACCCAAAAGAGACATGATAACGCTTCCTGCATGAGATAACACAGTCACACTGACAAAAATGACCAAGCAGGCCCTGGCTGACCAGACCTCCATTTGTCACTCCTTTGGGGCTTGTCAGTGACACTCTGCGGGTAGTTGCACCCACTTTGAGATACATGAAATCCAACCAAACAGAAAGCCTGAAGATGAAAGTCAGGCTCAGAATCCGATGGATTACTGACCTCCTTTGCCTCTCAGTAAGGCCCCTCCCCTCTTAGATGGTCATGGAACAGGAAGCCAGGGAGTATTCCTGGACACAGTGGGGCAATGCTTCTCTTGGACTCCAGCTGCTGGCTTCTTTTCAAAGCTGGGAGACCACCTCTCCTTGACACTCCCTTTATTAGACCGGAGAAAGAAATTCTTGTCCTAAACTGGTAATGAAAGAATTAATGCCACAATAGTCACCCCAGCTACCTTGCCAGGCCAGCCACCTAGAAAATGAGTATCTTTCTATAAAAGAATAATATCCAGTATTAACAATAAGCAGTTAAGGAACACTTCACAAGTTACAAAGACTTTTTCATCTCTTTCATTCTTAAAGTTGCCCCTGTTAAACAGGTATTGGTGTTATCCTATTTTACAGATGAGAAAAATGAGGCCTGGAGTAGGTCAATGGCTTGCAAAGATCACTGGGATAGTAGGTTGTAGAGATTGGTTTTGCATCCAAGGCGATCCCTGTCTCTAGTATATCACGTTGCCTCGGAGATGCGAGATGAGCTGGCTGCAGTTATGCTCAGACATAACTGCTTACATTTTCAAGGATAGTTCCCCTCCTTGTAGTTCTCAAACTTGGCTGTGTATTAGGATCACTTGGTGACCTTTGACAAACTACTGTGGTCTGGCTCCCACCCCAGCCATTCTGATTCAGTTGGTGTGGGATGCAACCTGGAAGGCAGGGTTTTAAATGCTCCCCAGGTGATTCTAAATTGCAGCTACATCTGGGAAGGACGCTCTCCCAGCTTCTGTTTCTGTGACACAGGACTTGTAGTCAAAGCCACCTCAGGCCAGCAGTATTCTTGCTGTGTGGCCTGGAGAGAAGACTCAGGGGCTGTCTTCCTACAACCTAAGCAAGAATAAAGAAAATGTAAGGGCAAGACTCTCTGGGCCAAAGGTAAAGGAATAAAGGAAAAAGACAGAGAGAAAGGGAGCCAGGTGAGTGGGGAAAAGAGAGACAGAAGCCCCCTCCACTTCTACAGAGAAACAGGATTCTCATTTCGTTGCACACTCATTCTCGTCTACAGATGTTCCATGCATGAACTGGCTCCCTAATCTTATCTATAACGCCAAGTGTGATGAATGAAATTTTCAAAAGAAATACCCAAGACCTGTACCCAGTAAGGACCGCATTTTTAAGGCAGTCTCCTTGGGAGGCCATGGTTCTGCTACGCTCAAAACGTTTCCGGAGTCCCTTTGGGAACTGACATTAAATTCACACAGAAAAAAAGCAAATAGCCATGCCATCCCAGTGTTTAAACTTTATATACATATTTTTTACCCTGAACACTATTACGTTAATCAGTGTCCCCACTACCACCACCATTGATCAGATTTGACTGTAAATGACTTCAAGTAATTCCAAACATTAAACTCACCCCTTAAGGACAGTACAGTAACTCATTGAGCTGTAAGCACTTTGTTAGAAGGTGCAAATCATTTCATCGAGAGCTCCAGAAATGTTCTAAGCCGTGGAAGTGCTCTCAGGATGGCTGAGTTCTCCGAAGGGTGCCTCCTCTGCTGGGGACCACACTCCCTGAGGGCCATGAGGTCCAGGATGGTTGAAGTCACATCACTTTATAAACATACCGTGCCAACAGAGAAACCTGCATTCCAGTTATTGACCTCAGATCTGCAGCTGGAAGGAGCAAGCAGGATGGAGCACAGTGGGGCTCAGAAGTCCACCAGAACCTCAGGACTGTAGATGCCAGAGACCACCGGCCCTGCTGCCCCGCCTCCTACATGAGCCATCCAGGGTGGCTCTCAAAAGACTTCCTCTAGCAATTAAGGACGAAGATGACGAATGCCTCAGGGCACTAACAAAACAAGAACCAAGAGAGGAGGCTAAGACAGCCGTGGAGGGTCAGAAGCAAGGAGCCCCACAGGGAAAGACCAGGAGGGGAGCCAATACAAAGACAGCAGCGCCTTGCGTTTCCTTAAAAATCCTACAGCACTCTTCCGAGGGCTTTCTGCTTTCCCAGAGCCAAACCCAGCAAGCACGTGCCTCAAATTCCCAACTCCCAAACAATTGTCTCCTTGTTTCCATTTTGCCAGAGAATGTTATTTAGGGCTGAAGTTAATATAAAAGCAGGAATGTGTTTATGAGGTGAGAAGACCATAAGAAATCAGGAGTATTAAAAGAGGGCCCTGTAAAGAGTGCTCCTTACACCTGAAATTAATATAATAATGTATGCCAACTATACTTGAGTAAAAATGTATTTTAAACGAGTGCTTCAGGATGGAGAGCTGGCTGCAGGCAGGAAGTCTCAGTCCATGTTTGTGTCCTGTCTACAACAATGTCTGATATGTAAAGGTGCGTAAAGGAGTGTTTACTGAGCTGAGGCTTTGTTGCCATCTCATGGGTGCTGGTTTCTAAAGGCAACATGGGACATGGATATTTTTCCATTGTGCCCCTTTTCATCTGTCTCAGTTGGCTCACAGGCTCACTGTTTCCACGGGTAGCCCTACGTTTGCCAGCTGGCCCCTGGCTGCTAAATGTGCATATCCCAGTTCGCAAAACCAAACCATGCTCACCCCACACTCCCCTTCTTGAAGCCTCTCCAAGGCAGATGGAGCCATAACAAAAATTATACTTTGGGTGCTCATAGAAAATCTAAGACTCCTCTCCATGAGACAAACCCCAAACCCCATTTGAGAAAACAGGGATTGTTAGACCTGGTGATTATCCAAGTACCTCATGGACACTCTGGACCACATGGAAGAGAATCTTTGGACCACATTTCACAACGGGTGAAACTGTCACACCTACCCATGAGAACCCATCTCTAGAGAATTATTGTGTTGGTCTGCATCCCACTCGCTGTCCACGTGTATCATTCCACTTTCTAAATAATTAAACTGAGTAAGAAAACAAGCTAGGACAGTAGTGGGTTCACCCTTGGCTGCTACTAGAAAAACACATATTGCTCAGAACTATCCATAGAACTTCCTGTAGTGATGGAAATTTTCTCCATCTGAACTGTCCAATATGGTAGCCACTAGAAATAGGTGGCAAGTCAGAGCTTGAAGTGTGACAAGTTGACTGAGGAAATATATTTTCTTATTTAAAGTTAAATTTAAATAGCTGTATGTGGTGAGTGGCTGTTATATTGGACTAGCACTTATTCATCAGGAGTTTGGCTACCATGAATTTATAAGGTAAATAGTCAGAGATGATATACTTAGTGACTTGGATTTTGTCAGCCAGTGTTCTTCCCGAAAGTGGCCTGGCCATCTTCTGCCCATTGTAGGGGAGGTGGGAGGGACGCCCAGTGATAATTAAGTATGAATTTCCCTCCATCTTTGTAAAAGGGGGCTAATAGTTCATATGAAGTGGATTCTTCAAAAAAAATAGAAATGAAACATTTCTTGCACACTGAAGCTGATACACTCATATCTGTTCCATCCACCTTCAAAAACTTCACCGACATGGTAGTAAATATCACAACTGCTCTAGAAAATTGACTGCTTCGTGGTAGTGGCTGAAGGCACACTTTTCCAATTTTTGTGCCTCCAATTCAGAGAGAAGTTGTCACTCACTTCGGGGCGGACATTTTGGTGGGCTTGAATTAAGAACACATGTGTACACACATCCTCTGGCACGGTGACATATCCATGGAAAAGGAAACACACAGTTCATCTATTTCAATGACGTTGGTTTCTTTTAACAACTTTTGAATTTATATATATTGAGACTGGGGATCTGAAAAATATATCTTTCACAAAATGGCTGATGAACTTCTCTAGGGTAATTCTTAACTAAGTGCTGTTGTATTGCTGAACCCTTATGTTAACATGAACCGTATGAAATTGCTGGTACTTGCCCGTTTTGTCCTACGTAAACAGTGATTTCACATCGGGCCACCTAATTTACAGATGAGGTCACTGCTCAGGTCTCACGTGTGAGTGTAAAGCAAGCAAGAGACCCATGGCCCTTGACACCCCACTTTTCTGGGAGCGGAGAGGGTGGGAAATCACCTGCAAAACAGAACTCTGAATGGTACTGCTGGTTCGTCCAAAGAGAATGTTGAAAAAACTCCAGTGAAAAAGAATTAAGAAAAAGTCCCTGTGGAGCAGTGATAAAATCTTGATGTTTTCTTTGTAAGATCATTAAACTCTCATTAAAATGGTGTATGAAAACAGAAATATCTCTTTTGGCTCAAATGCCAGCATTAACCCTCCAGTACCAGGAAATGGAGCTGGATACCGTGGAACTGCAGCTGAAAGTAATTAAAAGCAAACTGAAGTTGAGCGTTTCAATTCCTCTGAAAAGCCTAGAAGATTATTTTTTCCCAGATACATGTTGAGTTCAAATATTAATTTATTTATGTTCCACCTACTCCTAAAAATGGAATGGTGGAAAGTTCAAATACCATATGTAGATATTGTCCAAAATTGTGTGCGTTAAGGTTTAAACGCTTTAGCTTGAACTCAAAGATGAACATGCTTAGTCAGGTTATAGGAAAAGATCTCATTTGGGCAGATGCACTAACGGAACCACTGGTAAGGAACCGTGGACAATGCATGGGCTGATCCCTTCCCTTCCACAGCTCTGGGTGATGCTACAGCTCTGTCTACTGAAGTGTCTTAACTTTGGCAGAGGTTAAAGGTAACAAACACCCTTTGAAAACCCAGCACAAAGATTTTTTTTTTACAAAGGCTGGCAGATGGCAGGGATGGAGGATGGTTTAAGAGAGGACAGGGGAGGG